TTTGCCTTTTTGGCATAAATATAATTTAGTTATAATGTAACTGTCTCTAAAATCACCGTGAATGTTGTGTTTGCAGATCACATTCATGGGAACTGTAAGTGAGGCTCTGGGTTTTAGTGTGAGACAGGAGAGATGGATCAGCAATAGGAAAGCTTGCTGCTTTTCAAAAGTCCAGAGTTTCATTCTGAGTACCCATGTCAGGTGGCCCACAACTGCCTATAACTGCAGCTCCATGGAATCCTATGCTCTCTTCTAGCCTCTGCGAATACCTGTACCTAAGCACGCATGCGTACACACACACACACACACACACACACACACACACAAACACACACACACACACACACACACACTAAAGTAAATTAAGAAAATAATAAGTTAAAAAAATAAAAAAGGAAACCAAATTCTTGCTCATTCAGAGACTGAGACCTGAAAAGCAGCTATAGTATTCTGTAAGGGCAAGTTAGAAATTGGCTCCTCATCTCATTCATGGTTGTATTGTCTTGCATAAACATTAAAATCCTAGCTTAGTGATTGAGCACTTGCCTAGTGTGTGTGTGTCCTGTGGGGTCACTATGTTTGACTCCCAGCAACAAACAGCACCTTAATCCTGGTCAAGAGATCTTATTCTGTATGGTTGATCCAGTCTGCACACACCAGTCATTTTCTATCTGAAGCCAAACTTTTCATTTTAACAAACATAAATAAAATAAAACAAACAAAAAAATCTGAACAACAGTAGTAGTAAAACCTTTTCTCAACTCCCACCAAAAGAAACCCCCAAAATTAAAACTAACCAATCATCAACCAAACAAAAAACAATACCCCTTCCCAAACTCTCTGGTTGCTGAATGTTTATTTGCTGGCCTGAAATTGTAATTGGTGGCATAGGAAGATTTTCCAGTTTTTTACAGCTTATTTTCATAAATTTTTAATAATAAAATTTCCATTTATTCATGAAATAATTATTTGTTCCTTACTGTGCTAGGCACTGGTAAAATGCATGAACAAAAATCCTTTCCCTGTTCTATACATAGCATACAGTTAGTTCTAAGATCAGGCATACACTTATGTGAAGATTTATGATTAAACCCATCATTACCCAAAGACATAATTACATATGGTAAAATGACAGAAGAACAATATGTAATATATAGAGGTACTCATCCTGATCTGGGGAGTGGAGCAGATATTATTTCGGGAGGCAATGATACATAAGCAGAAGATTGACACATGGAGAGAGCCAGATAAATGGAGATTGGGAGAGGGTGGGGTAGGAGCAGAAAGTACAGCCAAAGGGATACTAAAGGAGGTAGAGATGTAAGCTTTGGATTTAGAGGGGCAGAGAAAGGGCCATAAGAGTGAACAGAGGATGAGTCAGTAGGACAGTGGAACACTAGCTTAGCTAATGATGCCACATCCCCCCCCCCCGAGAAAGGAAAGCATTTTCAGAGTGTTTTGTTTTTTTGAGGCGGGGGTCTCTCTTTGCTGACCAAGTTGGCTTCAATTTCATAGCAATTCACTACCTCTGTTGTCTCAGTGCTGGGATTAAAGGCATGTGCCACCACCACATGGCATCATCAGCAGAATTTTAAGCTAGAAAGGGAAAGGAATACATTTTTCTTTACAACTGTCTTTCAGGCTGGCTGGTTGTGGAGAATGAAAAATAGGGAAACAAAACTAGAGAAAGGGTCTTTTTTTTTTTTTTTTTTTTTTTAAGGGATGGTTCATTGCTTTTGGTAGATAGGAAAGGGATGGAATAAAGGAATTTAAGAAATACTTAAGGAGTGGGGTTGGCAAATCTTGGTGGCTGAAGAACACTCACAAATGCATGCTGTAGATTTGGTTACATTGAGTCAGCAGAAAAACGCGATAGAAAAACACTTGAGGAGGTGTCCAGAGTCTGGTACTACTGTCAGTGCACATTAAAACTTCTTTAAATATCTGTTTGGGCCATCTTGTTCATCTTTTAAGAAGTACTGAAAAGGGACCCTCCCTGCCTTTCAATGTGTGCTCTCACACATCTCCACATCTTTTCTGTAGTGAGCAACCTCACTCATTTATGACTTATCTGACCTTTCTGGCTTCTTAAAGCATGTTTCATTTGCTTACTATTGGGGTTTTGCCTCATAAAAGAACTTCAGTAACAACCTAGCAAATGCAAGGAGCAGGGAGAGAAACTGCAGACTCCTTGCACTTTGATTCTGTGTTGCAGTCATACTATATAAGTAGTAGGAATGGTCATGTTCCAGCTTTGAGCAAATGAATAGGCGGAGTCCACTGTAGAGAAGGAAGCAAAGGAAAAGAGGATGTTTTAGGAAAACATGTGCTGCTTTCTCATTGCTTTGATCCAATACCTGATAAGCCACTTTATGGATGGGAGTTTTATTTTGCTCTCTGAGAGACTACAGTTCATCATGCCAGGTGGCATGGTAGCAGGTAGAATCAAGGTGGCTGGAGCATGTAGCAGCGGCTCCTGGCTCCCACAACTCCACAGAGCAGGGTACAGAGAAAGCGAGCAGCCAGTACTCAGGTGACTTTCTCGTTTCCTCTTTGATTCAGTTCAGGGAGCTGAAAATGTAGGTAAGTTTTTATCTTACTGCTCCTTGATCGGGAGATAAACCCTAGCTGGAGATTTCATCTTGAAAGTCATGGAATCCAGATGTGGGTGGCTTCACAGACTGGTGGCAAGTGTCCCACACCTAGAAGGATCTTGGGCTTCATTTAGTGCTCTGGGCCTGCCTTCTGGAACCTCTTAAGTTTTGAGCAGGGACCATGTTTTCGTGCTGGATGGGAACTTTACATGGTTGAAGGTCTGAGTGCTTAGCTGACTTTTCATAGCTACTTTCCCCATAAACCCTCCACTTATGTGTTCCCAGAACCAGAATTTCGCTCCTCCTGCTCTCTGTATTAGTCTATTCTCTTTGCCCTTTTGAAAGCTGCCAATGTTCGAGACATCATTGTGGTTTGTGTTGTTAAATGAAAATGTTTCTGTGGCTTGATGTACCTCAGATCGTGGAATGCTTGCCTAGCATGCTGGAAGCTCCCAGGTTTCATCACCAGCATCCATGCATAGCAGGACATGCCTGAAATTCTAGTATTCAGCAGATAGAGGAAGGAGGACCAAAGGCTCAATATGATCCTCTGCTGCATAGCAAGTTTGAGGATAGCCTGGGATAATGAGATCCTCTCTCTCAAAAAAAAAAAAAAAAACCAAAAACAAACAAACAAAAACACCCAAACCAAAAGAAACCACAATCACCCTGTCTCATATTGCAATTCTCACATGTTCATGTTTCATATTGTTATAACCCACAGTTAAGGGAGTTCTGTAATAGGGTAGACTGAGTTTGAAGTTTTGTGTGTAAGTTACTTGAGGTAAATTTCCTCAGTTTCTCTGAATGTTCATTTCCACATCTGAAGAGTATTATGAGCATTAAACTAGATAATGTATGTAAAGTGGGCCATGCAATGCTTGGTACATTGTTAAATGTTTAATGTTCTGTTTTAAAAATTATTTTTACTCAGATATGATGAATTATGAACACCTGCTGTTATTGGCCATTTTTCTCATCTATGTGACCAAACACCTAACAAGAAACAAATGAAATAAGGAGAGATTTATTTGGGTCACCGTTTGAGGGGCTACAGTTCATCATGCTAGGGACCCCAGTGGCATGTGGTTGCATGAGGGTGGCAGGAGCTGTTAGTGGCTGCATGTTCACAACTATGTGGATCAGGAAACAGAGACTGGCGAGAAAATGGGGCAAGTCTGAAAACCTGAAGACCCACCTTTATTATATTTATTTCCTTCAGTGATACTTCATCTCTTAAGGGGTTCCACACTCTCTCCAAATACTCCACTGGCTGGAGACTAAGTCTTCCACTACATGGGCCTATGGGGGCATTTCCCATTCAAAAGGGAGTGCCTGCTTTAAAAATGTAGAATAAGGGGAACAGTGGTTTGGTTCGTTTCAGCAGAAATATATGTACACGTATATGTACATGTGTATGTGTATATGTTATGTATATGTTTTTATTTGTCCCCAATGTATTTATTTATTTTTTATTTTTTATTTTTGAGACACATAGTAAGCACTGAAAATACTGTAGGGTATTATCTATCAAGCTGTGTGTCGGTCTCCAAGAACCACACTGGCACAGCATTGGCATGGTAACTTCATTCTCAACACCTTTACGACTTTGATACCAGAGGCAACCAGAGAAGCCCAAGAAAGGCAAGGGCACTCCAGACTCAGTTCCTAAGCTAATTCTCCGCGCGAGGCTGCAGTTGCTATGGAAACAGCGAGAGGGAAAAAAAAAAAACCACAAACTGGACTCCCCGCGGACCTGGCAGGCCTTCAGTAAACACTAACGGTGGCTGGAGAACCGATGCTAGCGACGCGCGGTCGGACGGCTAGGGTTCACAGTGGTGTGGCCCCAGCGCCTGCAACCCGCCCCGCCCCCACCTGCGCCCCTCCCCCAATCCCTCCCCCTCTCCCGCGAGTGTAGGTAGGTACCACTGCGAAAGGCCCACCGGAGCCTCACCACTGGGCGGCGCTGGCCAGACCAGAGTGCCGGGGTTTCTGACTCGAGAGTCCCCTCTGCTTCTATCTGCTCAGTTTACTTAATTTATTGATATTTGTCTATAATTGAGGCTGTTTTAAAACTTGACAGGTAGTTCAGGCTGGCCTATACTCCAGTCCTAGCAGCTCCAATTCTAGGATGGCAGATGTGCGCCACAGCGTCGGAACTTCTCAATGCATTTTTAAGTAGTTTGTTTTCCTCAGAGGAGAAATCCGGGCAACTTTAGCTGGGGATCTTAATGGCTTTATTGGAGTGGGCGGCGAGGGTGGGGGAGAAGCGAATGAGCTGGTGGTATTAGAGTGCAAGACAAGGGAAAGAAAAAAATGAAGCAGTTGGGAGAAACAACACGGATGTGATGTTTGCTCTGAATCTCGCCATGTTAATAATGTGCGCTTGAGTGCGTGTGCGTGTGCGCGCGCTTAAGTGCGCGCGTCCGCCGCTGTCCCTTCTGTCCCAGCTCGCGCAGGGGTTTAAAGCCCGGGCGGTGCGGGTTCCCAGACAGCACACCTGGGCGCTGCGGGGCGGGAGAGACAGGTGTGCGAGCCTGCGAGCGGAGCGCTGATTGGTCCTCTGAGCCGCGCCTTACTTGAACTGCTCCTAGCTGGGGCTGGCCCGGCAGGGCTGGCCCTTCTTCACCTGCGAGTGGCTTTTCCTTGTCTCTGCAGGAGGCGGTCCATGAACTGGTGTTGCAGGGCCGCGGAGTGCTAGCGGGTCCGGTGTCCAGCACGGAAGATGAACGGCCCCAGCGCCAGGTCCAGCCACCTGTCGCAGCCAGTGGTGAAGAGTGTGCTGGTGTACCGCAATGGGGACCCCTTCTTCGCGGGGCGCCGTGTCGTCATTCATGAGAAGAAGGTGTCCAGCTTCGACGTCTTCCTCAAGGAAGTGACGGGGGGCGTGCAGGCGCCCTTTGGGGCGGTTAGGAACATTTACACCCCGAGGACAGGCCACCGCATCAGAAAACTGGACCAGATTGAGAGCGGGGGCAACTACGTGGCCGGGGGCCAGGAAGCCTTCAAGAAACTCAAGTGAGTCAGTGTGTCCTGGGCTGTGGGGCATGGTTGATAGGCTGCCTTCGTTCAGTCTAGCTAGGAGCTGGCAGTTGCAGGTAGAGTTGAAACTGGCGAAGGAATTTCACTCCAGTAGCAAGCAGTAGGTCCAGATTTAACGATTGGCTAAACAGTGTAGAAGTAACAACACTGTTTTGTTATTTCGAGACAGGATCTCCATAGCTCCAGTCTGAAACTCACTATGTAGACCAGGCTGGCCTTCAACCATCTGCTGTCCTCCTTCCTCAGCCTCTGAAGTATGAGATTACAGGCTTATTTTATTTAGTTTTTACGAAAGTCCATCCCTTTAGCTTAAAGGGAAAAAAACAAAACAAACAAAAAAGACTTCTTACGAATTAATTCCAAGGGCTGGATGCTCTGCTATGATTTCCCTCCTCATTGTTTGAGTTCCTTCATTGCAAGCAGAAAGCACACAGCTAGGTACTGTGCCCTCTTCCCACGTCCTAGGTATTTGTGCTAGTCACACAATGCTTGGAAAAGTCCACTTTTGTGTCTGTGTACATCTCTCTCTAGGACCCACAGGCTGCTTTCGACAGGGAGCTCCTCCACGGTTCTTTTCTGTGAATTAGCAACAGAGATAAGGTCTGTGTAGTGAACGAACTAAGATGGACAGACTTGACTCATCTTTGAGAACTTTCCACCTGCAATTTTAATGCAAATCATAAGGAGATAGCAATAGTAAGAAAAGTACTGAAGTTTATGTGGGAGTTTAGAGTTGTCAGGAGTGGATAGCATAGTAAACTTTTACATTCTGTGAGTGTTTTAAGGCTTTACTGACACACATTTTTGTGAATCCACCCATTTCCATGATTTCCAAAGTTATGAACCATCACTATGAATCCATTTTACAATATCTCGATCACTCTCCTGAAGAATCGGACACCTCCCAACTTCCTCTTTCTCCAGGCATGAGCAAACCACTAACTCTTTCCTGCACTTACAGTGTCCACAATACGTGGGCTTTGTCTGTTGTGTTTGCCACTGTGACACTTTCAAACTCATCCACGCTGTAGCATGTATCAGTGCCACTCTACAGTTGAGTAGTTGTCTATGATATGGATGTAATAGTTTTCCTTCATGCATTAAGCAGTTGATGGATTTAGCCAGTTCTCTTTGGGGGCTATTATGAATAATGTTTCTGTGGACATTTGTTTGCCACTTTTTATTTCTTGGCTGTATCTACCAATGGGATTGTGGAATCATAGATAATCCTATAATCTATAGCTTCAAAATAGATTATTTTAATTTAAATTTATCTTGGGCCCCAGGATAGCAAATAGTTTAAAAAATATTTACTATGAATCTATTTCCTGTGATTATTTTCTAATTGTATGGAAGCATTTTCACCCAAATACTCCTGAAGTTCTCTATTAGTGCCTTTGCTCACCTGGCTTGTATAAGATGAGCTCCACCCGTCCTGCTCTCTGGGAATGGAAACTGTCTTCTTACAAAAGACAAGGGGTACTTCTGAATTTATTTTTTACTTCTCTGAAGTGTCCCTTAAACATGATTTGTCTAACTCCAGAAAAATTTGCTCAGTGAAACACTGGCTAAAAGAAATCTAGAACTGTTTTGTTTCTTTGAGAAGTTCTCACATAGTCCAGGCTTGTCATCTGTATGTATACAAGGATGACCTTGAACTCCCACCTTCCTGCCTCAACCTCCAGAAACTTAGTTCAACAAGAGGACTTAGACTTTGCTTGCTTCTTAGGGCTGTGTGTGTATGGGCAAGTGTTTGGAATCAACCAATCAATAGAGGAGTTGGGTACATAGCATGCACAAAGTCCTTGATCCCCAGAACCACATAGAACCAGCTGTTGTGTACACATCTGAAACCCTTTAAGAGGCAGAGGCAGGAGGATCATAAGTTTATGGTCATCTTCTGCTACACAGGAAGTTCAAGGTCAGGCTGAGTCTTAATATCTTCCTGCCTCTATCTCTCAAGCGTCACCAAACCTGGTTTTATGTAGTACTGGGCCAGCCTTAGACACACAAGAACCTATGTTAAAAAAATAAAAAGGTAAAAACTAGACTATGAAAGCATTTTGAAGATACTGGTATACTTATAAATGTGAGACACCTCTATGGCCATCATCTTGCATTATGTCTGTATTTTAAATTAAATTATTTCCATACCTGGGTGTAGTGGGACATGTAATCCTAACACTTGGGAGATAGGTGCAGGTGGATCAGGAGTTTAAGACCAACCTGGAAAAAAAAAAAAGTAAAAAAAAAAAAAGACCAACCTGGGCAGAGTAAGTTCAAAGCCAGCCTGGGCAGTGTTAGCTCCCATCTCAAAGAACAACAGCAAAACAACAAAAACATTCCACTTAGAGACAGAATACTTTCATGAGAATGGAAATTTGGTTTAGATTTTTGACAGCTGAAAGGTATAGACTATAGTCATTTATGTCCCTCTTTGTAGGTGTTTTGCTACCAATTCAGGATGAAAAACTACAGCTTTAAGATAAACAGAATTTGCTTTTCAAACCACTTTTTATATGTATATAGTGGATCTGCAGTGTTAAATTTTACTTTTAAGTCACACACAAAACACAAAAACTGAGTTTGTTACTGAAGTCCCCACAGTTAGTTTTCCATGCTGAAATTGGTGTTCAAGTATCTGTCAGTATCTATGTCTGTAGGGATAGACACTAAAGATTTAAGTGCTAGATGTTTGAAGTTTAGCACTGTATGTTTGTATAACAACCAAAGCAACTGACAGAATAAAGGAGAGTCTGAGGAGTGCTGAGGATCATTCAGAGGTTTTCCCTTCGAGCCAACATAATGTTGGAGAAGACAGCAAAATACTTGTCAGAAAGTGATGATCAGTTTCCTGCTGGAATGTCTTTCACTTAGACATTTCTAATATTTTTGACACCTTCTCTAAGGTTTAGGTAGGTTTTAAAACTTTCTTTTACAGTACTTTTAGGCAATTCTTTTCTCAAAACTTTTCTTGGGGCCAAGATAAGATGGATCAATGGGTAAAGGTACTTGTGTTGCAAGCATAATGACCTAAGTTTGACCCCTGAAACCCATGTAAAGGTGGAAGGAAGGAGGGAACCCATTCGCAGAATTGTTCTCTGACCTCCACATGTGAGTTGCAGGATGTGCACGACCAAATGCACACTTACAAGTGCTTACACACGTACCTCTAAAATGTTCCTCATACATTTTTGGAGTTGTTTCACCTCCATTAACCCATTAGTTCTGAGACTAATGAGAATATTTTTTGTCTAGATAGAAATACATCCAGGAAATTCAAAAAGACCCATTTCATTGCTGAGATAATTGTTAACACCATCTTACACAATTGTTATTTGCATTTGCATAGAGAAATATAGTTTAAATTTCATATCTGTTAACATTCTGTCCAATAAAACCAAACAGCACCAGTCAATGGTGAACCCAGTTCAATAGCCAAAGTTAATTCTAATATATAAACTTGTAACAATTTATTGCATTTATTATCATTGTCTGTATGCAAATGTGTGTATGTGTGTGCATATTGCAGTGTGAGGGTGACAGTCAGAGGACTGCTTTGAGAAGTCAGTTTTCCCCTTCTACCATGCAGGTCATAGGGATGGAACTCAGGCTTAATGGCAGGTGCCTTTAGCATCTGAATAAATTATTTTTAGTGACAGCTGTCTGCTATAGTAGTTAAGATAGTTGAGTCTCTAATTGTGGTTATAAATTAGAAGCTAGATTTATACTTATATATTAAAGTAATTACTTAGTATCCTTTATTTCAAAGATAGTTTGGGAAGCATTTAAAACTGGAACTAGATCACACTGATGGGCTAATCCCCTGAAGTTGACAAAGACAATACATCTGTAGTGAAAAGAAATTGGATAATAAGAGTCTCAGAGGTTAACTAGCCCCCCCATCTGTTTGTAAGCTGATTCAATACCTAAAACACTCTAAATGACTGGGCATTTCAGTGTCACTGGGAAAACTACCCAGTTTTTCCCAGGTTTGACTCTGATGCCCTAGTCTGTCTTTCCCAGGTTTTCACTATGTCCTTTTTACCTAACTTTTGTAATTAATGCAATTCATAGACTTTCTAGAATTCATAGAATGGGTTACATTATATAGCTAGAGAGTGAGGCCATCAGTAGAGTACTTGCATGGGTGGTGTATGCCTGTAATCCCAGTGCTGGGGAGGCATGAGTTCAAGCCTAATTTTTAGTATATAAAACCCTATCTCTAAAAAAGAAAAATAATGGAAGAGAGCAGGAAAGGTGTAGGGTTACTGGGAGGGGGAAGGAGAGTAATTTCAGAGTAAGAAACTACTATTAAGGGAGAAATGCTTCCTAACCATTAGACAAATGCTTCAGCTCTGGTTGGTGAGGCTGTGTGAACAACGCAGTAGTACCTACTGATTTCTGCTTCAGGCTTATACATTTTCTATGACTGGGTTGGCTTTTTAGTAATGTCTAAACATTTTATTTAACTGACTTCAAACCTGTAAAAGCAACCCTTACTTTTTCCCCTTCTAGTTACTTGGACATAGGAGAAATCAAGAAAAGACCAATGGAAGCTGTTAATACTGAGGTAATGCAAATTCCATTTTGAAGGTTTAAATTAATGCCATCTTTTAGTTGTTGTTTCTTACTATGTCTGCCATGTGGCCAACACTCTAATGGTAAGAGTTCTTACATGTATGTAAGGGTAATATATGTTCTGAGAAAAAAGTGGTCCTTTCTTAGCCTATTTTCAGAAATTAAGAGATATGCTTTCAGGCATGCAGAATTGGGTGAAACATTCTCCGGTACAAGTCTCCCGGTTCAGTGTGAGGAGATTCTGAGTAGTGATCAATGAAATTCTGTTCAAAGTTCCCAAGGATTCCTGCCTACTTCCTGTTAGCCTACCTGTCAGAAACAGCCAGGGTCACATTTCCAGCCTGAGGCAAGCAGTTGCCATGTTGGACTTGCTGTGCTTGGTTTCTTTGAGTCAGGGCCTTTGTACATAGTCCTGAAACTCACTATGTAGACTAGGATGGCTTGAAAATCACAGAGATCTCTTTGCTTCAGCCTCTGGAGTGCTGGGATTAACAGTGTCTGCCACTATGCCTGGCTCAAAAGTATGTCTGTTCTGTTTTCATTGTTTTTATTTTTTATTGTGTTCAGGATTAAACCCAAGGCTTTACACATGCTAAGTAAGTGCTCTGCTACCGAGTTACACTCTTTGTTCTTTCTTATATATGTGTGTGCGATTTATTTATTATGTTAGAAACATGATCTTCTTAAGCTTAGCCTCAAGCTATTGGAGCCCCAGGCTTCCCTTAAACTTAAATTTCTGTCTGGCCTTCCAGAGTATCTAGGATTACAAGTGTGTGTTACCAGGGCTTTTTGTTTGTTTTTGTTCTGGGGATTGAATCTGAGACTTTGAACATGCTAAGCAAACATTCTACCACCGGTTACAGCCTCAGTTGCTGTGATGTTTGAAAGCCACCTCCAACCTGTATTAACTTTCTTCTGTGCATAGTCAGCAGACACTTGCAGGGAGCTTGGAGGTGAGCCGTGTAAACCAGATAACCAGAACACCATATTCTAAGTCGCTTCTGAAAGCCTGGTGGAATGTCTAGCAATTCTATAGCATGTATTTCTTGGTTTGTAGGTGAGAACAAGAAAATCTGAAGCTAAGATGATAGCCTGAAGCTCTTCAGGCAGGGAAGGGTGTAGATCAGACTGAACTCTGCCCTCCAGCCCAGGTGGACATTCCTCCCACATACGGTCTTCAAATCCAGTGCTGCCATATAGAAGAGCAGTTCTTCCCATTCAAAATACAGACCTTGAAGAGACTGTTTACTGCTCACCCCTTTCACTCTCATTCTATTTAAGCATGCAACAAGGTCAATTAGATCCCTCCAGGAAAGTCATATAAGGTAAAACTCTAATTACACAGTATTTGAGGAGTGTGAGGTTACATTAGTTATTCAAGGGAGTATTCACCGAATGGTTTATGGAAGAGGTGCTATTTTCAGAGCTTGTTTAAAATAACATATTGTCTATTTTGTTTTTCAACACATATCACATTAATTATCTATGGAAGTGATGGGCTTTGAAGCCTAAAGCAGACAATGGTATACGTCTTTCTGGTTATGTTTATATTATGGATAAAGAATGAGTTCTTGTTAATTGTTATACTGAGTGGAAATAGCAGATTAGTGGAATAGTTCTGGACATGAATCTGTACACAATTGTTTGAAATAGGCCACCTTGGATGCAATTGGTGGGTGCTGGAACATGGATGTCTGTGGTAGAGTTTAAGATATGTGAATTCCTCACTGCTTGATCTCCAGCCTCTGTAGTGAAGGTGTTGAACCCAGTAAAGTATCAAGGTATTGAATCTAGTAAAGTATAGCAGGTGTGTAACAGGTTAATTGAGAGTAACTTTTCCATGCTGCATGGCGCTATATTCCTATGATCCTAGCACAACAGAAAGATCTGGAGTTCAGTGTAATCCTCAGCTACACCATCAGTTGGAGGTGAGCTGGGGGCTATATGAGACCTTGTTTTATAAAACCAGTATCAAAGTCAAAATCAAAACAAAAATAACAAACAGGATCAAAATATCACAACCGTCTGTAAATCCAAATGCTTTCTGGTTTCTATAGGAAACACACACACACACACACACACACACACACACACACACACACACACACACGGTTCATATGCATACATACAGGAAAAACAATCATACACACACACATAATAAATATATCTAGAAGAGTAAATATCACTTTAACTCTTAGTTCTGTAGTATGACTGTGTGTGGGGAATGTGCATGCCAGAGTACTCACCTGGAGGTTAGAGGACAGCATGTGGGAGGGGAGTATGTTCTCTCCTTTCTCCTTCTACCATGTGGGGCTCAGCACTGGAACTATGCTGTCAGACTTTGACAAATGCCTTTATCTGCTGAACCATCCCACTAATTCCTATGATTTCCTTTCTATGGCTTCAGTGACCTAGCAAGTTCTAAACTGTGTGAGCATACTAGTGATACCTTTTCCAGGGTATCCATGCTGTGTATCTCACTCCAGCTGGTCAGGAGGCAGCCACTTTGATCTTCAGATCTATTATCTCAGTATTGGTGTACTTATTTAATTTAATAAAGGCCCCCAAACACACAATTAATAGTGCTGGGTGTTTACTTATGCCAAGGAGAAGCTGTAAAACGCTACATTAAATGGAAATGTAAAAGTCACATCAGAGTTTGGACATTACTCTCTTATGGTTATTACTCTTTTATCCTGTGTCTGATTTTGTATGGTCTGGTACTGTCTGTGTGTTCTGATGTTCTTAGGCTGTCTTAGAATCTACCTGATGTGTGTAAGCAGAGGGTGGGGTGGGAGTGGGGACTGCTGCATTGCTGTCTGGAAAAGTATTTGTAAGTCGCCCTGAGACTCCAACTCTCACATATGCAAGTCTTGCTGTGGAGAAGGAGTTCTGTCTTCCACACATGGTTTATGATCAAACTTCTGGAATTTAGTAAGTTTGTTTAGAAGACTGTTCAAATCATGAAAAAGAACTTGGAAGCCCCTCAGAAAAATGTCTGAATTATCCTCCTTTGATCTAAGGTGGGGTTTCCTTCTGGTACTCAGTGTTTGCTGAGAATATACTGTGCACATGCAGAGCCCTGGCCACTGCTGGAGAGTATGCACACATGTAAGAGGGAGGCCATCAGCCATAATTTGGAACCTGATTTAGAGTACACAGAATTTCAGAGTTTAGAGTTGTTCCAAAGGGAAGCTTCAGTAGAGCAGTGACACAAAAGTGCCTTTTCAATTGCATTAGTCAGTATGAAGGATAAAAAAACAAAACAAAACAAAAAAAAACAACCCCCCCCAAAACAAAACAAAACAAACAAACAAAAAAAAAACTGCTTATTAGAGGACATTTCCCTTAAGCCTGAAGTCATTCCCTACAAGTTTGCAGTGATAGCATTGTACACCAAGGCACCACAGCAGAATGTACCTAGTCATTATAAGTATGGTCTTTCTAACTATTCCCAGTGGCCTTTGCAGCAGAAAGGTCTTTGCACTTCCCTGGACTCATGCAGAATAGAGGAGTCCTAGGCACCATAGCTGGAAACACCTGCTTCTGTGCTGGGACTGAGCATTTATATTCCGTTCCAGGCACCTGCAAGACTGGTGCATGATGGCTGCTTTTATAGATATAGTGGTGCCCATTCCTTGCTGCAGGCATTGGTCACTAGAATTGTGCTTCTCCCTTTAACATTCAGAGTTCTATGACTGATGTCATTGCTGCTCTGTCCCACCGGGCTCATCTTCTTTGTCTCTGTGTATGTGTGAGTGCATGTGGAAGACAGCTCTACTTCAGGTGTCTTCCGCAGTTGTTCTCCATCTCATTATTTGAGACTGAACCTGGAGCTTATTGGCTTATCTAGACTGGCTGTCCATTGAGCTGCAGGGAGCCTCCTGTCTCTGTCCTCCCAGAGCCAGTTATAGACATGCCCACTGGCTGTCAAGGGAGTGTTGGGAAGTTTTCTAACTGAGCCATCCTTCTCTCCTTCCTCTCAGCCGTAGGCTTCCACGTACGAGTCAACTTGCCTGGTTCTTCTGTCCTTTCTTGACCGTGCGATCTGTGAGGGTGCCCTGTCCTCACCTAGCAGATCCTTCAGAGTCTGTAGTGCAAGCCCTCACCAGCTCACATTCCCTCCTCTGCTTTAACTGCATGAGATTTCTGTGTCCTTTCTTTGTGTTTCTCTGTCTTGTCTGTTTTACTTTCATATGACTGAATAACCACATATACCATAGATAAGACACAGTGACAATCAATGAACAAGATAAACTTAGCCTCTTACTTTCATGAATTTGTAGTGGTTGATGGAGGAGGGCTCAGCCCATTGTGGGTGGTGCCATCCCTGGGCTGGTGGTCCTGGCTTCTATAAGAAAGCAGACTGAATAAGCCATGGGGAGCAAGCCAGTAAACAGCACCCACCCTCTGTGGCAGCTGCTGCCTCCAGGTTCCTGCTGTTTGAGTTCCTGCCCTGATTTCCCTCAGCAGTGGAGTATGACCTGAGAGTTGTAGGCTGAAATAAACCCTTTTCCCCCCAAGTTGCTTTTGATCATGGTGTTTTATCGCAGCAACAGAAATCCTGGCTGACTAACACAGTGATTCAGTTCGGAGACAGTTTGTGTTAAATTGTTTGCTTCAGGATTATTGTGTTGCTACAAAACCATCTGTGGACCCTTCTGATGGAAGCTTCCTTCTGCTCTGACCTAGATGTGAATGGTATGCCTTATCCCTGTATTCCTTGCTTGTTCTGTCTGTGAAGAGAGCAGTGACGTTCGTAAATAGTCCTTTAGAGTACAAAGATTTTTTTAAACATGAAGGGACTATGTATATAGAGGGAAAAACCAGGTACCCTAACTCCAAAGCACTTGGGATGTCCTTGGAGCTGTGTCCAGTGTGGTGTATAAACCAAATGCTTCATGGCTTTGCTCTGTAGGAGTTTAGAGCCCAGTAAGAGCCAGAAATAAGTCAACTGGGTCACTTACTTTCTGTGTCCCCATGGCCAGATAT